GATGGATACAAAGGCAGGATGTTAAAAACACAAGTGCGTTACCGTTAAACAAAGCGCTCCCGTACATCCAGAGCTTGTCCTGCTGAGCGGGGTGGAGACGTCTCTCCTCTGGTGATCAGAGTTCGGCTGGTCAGACAGTTCATCAGTCGCTTCCCATTCACTGCTGAAGCACAAAACCACAACAAAACCACAGGAGCTGTTTTTCATCTCCAGCCTCAACTCTCCTTCAGAAATCTCACTACAGTGCCAGGAAAGAACTTCAGGTTATTGATTACTTGAAAAGACAATCTGCTTTAAGGTTTGGTACTGAGGGTGAATGTGTCCTTTTCAGGGAACCTGAATCAAAGCCCTGTTTAAAGGAGGACTATAAGAATTTTATTTATTATTCAATAATACGAGCTTGCACAGTGCAGTGGTGTATGTGTGTGTGTGATATGTTGTGTGCTGTAGTGTGTGTGGTTACCTCCAAGCAGCGTAGCAGACAGTGGTGAGTATTGGCTGCGGACAACTCACAGCATCCAGATGTCGTAGGTACGAGGCTGCAGGGTCAAAGGTCAGCAGAGAGTGATAACACAAAAATAGAAAAAAAATATTTTAAAAGCTGCTAAAAGAGTTAAAAAAACTACAAAACTTGTGTGAGAAATGGGGTTGTTTGAAACAGCGGGTGAAACGTACCTACAAACATTACAAAGGTCACATTTTTGTTGTAAATGACCAAATTCCTTCACCAAAAGAACATTTTGACTTACCTTCATATCTGGGTTTCCCATGTGTATATAGCAGCCAAGCAGCTTAGAAATCTCCCAGTTCTCTTGTCCGTGAACACTTAGAACCGCAGAACAGAGCAAAGGGAAACTGTGAAATCCTGTTTGCTCGCTTTCAAATACGAGCAGGTTCTTTTTAGGAAATCTCTCTCTTTTACTAGCTAGCAGTCTTCTTCTTCCCCCTGTCTTTCTTTCTTTCTAAAAACATCACTGTAGATACTGTAAGTGTGAAACCTTGATAGTAATGTATATTGGCTTACTAGCAAAGAAATCTGCTCCATAGCCCCTCTTAGAGGTCAAAAACTCCACGGCGGACCTTTAAAGTGTAACAGGGACTTGACTGTGTGTGTGTGTGTGTGTGTGTGCAGGGAATTTACGGCCGTTTGTTTGTGTGGATCGTGGAGAAAATCAATGCGGCCATTTACAAGCCTGCGTCCTCACAGCCCAAAGTTCTCAGACGCTCCATCGGACTGCTGGACATCTTCGGCTTCGAGAACTTCACCGTCAACAGGTCTCACACACACACACACACACACACACACACACACAAACGTGTGACTAACAGGTGCTAACTGGCTAGCTAATTCTGTTAGCTTGCTTAAGAGGCATGTGGTATGTGGTTGGCTAAAGGGTGTGAGGGCGGGGACATCAGAGACATTATGAAATAAAAGCATCACTGGGAAAAGACCAAAATTAAATCAAAGCACAATTTTGAGACGAACATTTCTATAAATAAATTAAAACGATATCCAATCAAATGTAGTTAATATGAAAATGAATGAAGTCACATTTCATATTAATGAGTTGAACTTCAATTATATCACAATATTGTTAGTATTATAACAATATATACCTTGTCAAACACTGCGACAAATACATCAATATTCATTCAAAATGTCGAGGGTTACACGCTCCATACATTTCTTCCATCTCTTCTAGACATGAGATATAATGAATGAATGAACCTCTTCTGTCTCGCCCTCCTTCCTGCAGCTTCGAGCAACTGTGCATCAACTTCGCCAACGAGAACCTGCAGCAGTTCTTCGTCCGCCACGTCTTCAAGCTGGAGCAGGAGGAGTACAACCTGGAGAACATCAACTGGCAGCACATCGAGTTCACCGACAACCAGGACGCCCTGGACATGATCGCCATCAAACCCATGAACATCATCTCGCTCATCGACGAGGAGAGCAAGTTCCCCAAGGTACGCAGAGTCAAAGGGTGGAGGGAGGCAGCCAGCGGGACAGCCTCCATACCTTCATATTCCACCATCACCTGGAGCAGACAGGAAGTGTTGTTGTAGCTGTGACTGTTGTTTATTTAGTCGTGCATATTGCATTACACTGACACTGCGGCTTCCTCTTGGTTTCTGAAGCTTTACAGAGTTTCAGCTCATTGTTTATCTGAGTTTATCTATCAGACACAGTTAGAGACGAGCTGGTGGAGACCAACAACAGAGCTAAAAGAGAGTGACTATTCATCCAACAGTGGACACAAACACATGTTGTTCCTTTACTGCTGGTTGTGTAAATAAACAACTGTTTACTTACAAGTTCAGCATATGAATTTAACTGATATATTATATACTGATGTTGTTCCACAGTTTGTACTGAAAACAAATGGACAAGAAAATCACTTACAGCTGTTTTAATAATAGAAACCTTTGAATAAACAAACACGTGTTTGTGTTTGTGTGTGTGTGTGTCTGTGTGTGTCTGTGTGTGTGCGTCCTGCAGGGCACAGACACTACCATGCTGAACAAGCTGAACTTTCAGCACAAACTCCACACAAACTACATCCCTCCGAAGAACACCCACGAGACGCAGTTCGGCATCCAGCACTTTGCTGGCGTTGTTTACTACGAGACGAGAGGTCAGTGAAAGCAACACGTTCATCTGTTACATAGAAACACACATACACACACACACAGACAACCCCAGACACACAAACACACACACACACACACACACACACACACAAACACACACACACTCACAGTGTGCAAAAATGACATTCTCTCATGTGTGTATCTGCGTGTGTGTGTGTGTGTGTCCTGCAGGCTCGGCCTCACTCCAGAGCAGAGGAGGTGTGGTGGTTGATGTCACAGTGTGTTAGCAGCGCTAGTTTCGAGTTAACGCTACAGATCTGGGACAGTGTGAAGACAGGAAGACACACATAGAGACACACACTTACACACACACACACACCTACACACACACACACACTGCAGCAGGAGCCAGGAGACAAGAATATCAGATTTATATAAATATATAAATTCACTGTTACCGGCAGAGGCAGAAAATAAGTACTTGAAGCAGTACTCAACACTAAAACCTGTTAGTGAGCTTTAAACTGAACTTTATGAACTATATTAATATTCACATTATTACCTAATTTATGAAAATCAGTTATTAACTGTTGTAAATCATCCTGAACCTGTGAGTCCACTGCTGACACACACAGAGGGGACAGTCCTCTCTAATCAGAGGAGGACAGTCCGCCAGAGAGTCTGACATCAGCTGCTCTGTTAGCACTGTTAGCTCTGTTAGCACTGTTAGCTCTGACTACCAGCTCACTGTTCCTGCTACACTGCTGTGGTCAGTCTCCCTGAGTGAATTTATCTGCAGTTGTTGGTGCAGAGTTCGACTTCCTGTCTCTCTACTGGCTGAATGAACGGAAACACTAACAGCCTCCTCACTAGTGTAAATAAACTATTTCCATTCGCGCAGATAGAAGACGAAGATGAATGAGTGAGGAGTTGTACTACAGCTGCGGCAGGTTGCGACCCGCAGAGCGCCGTCAGGTGGAGGCGTTCACCTTCGCCGCGTCGGCTGATGAGCCGTCTGAACTTCCTGTTTGAATCCTGGCTGTGTTCCTGCGGGGAGTTAATGTGACCATCAGGAGGCGATGCGTTCACTGACAGTCTGTCAAAACTCAACATCACAGAGCAGACGAGTTCTTGTTGTTTTCTGTGTTTGTGTGGTCGCCTCCCGCTGTGAGCTTCCTCTGCGTTTGTTTCTGTTTGTCATCTTCATTTCACTTCTGTATTTCCTGACTTTGACGTTTCTCTGCAGGATTTCTGTGACAGCTCAACAGTTTGCATTTCTTTTCTTCTCTTGTTGTTGTTTCATATAAATAAAGAGAAGCAGTGCGGCAGAAACCCCGTAACGCCGCACAGGATGATAAAACAACTCTAAAATATCATGTTTAGGTCTGACGTATAAATTATTAATGACCTGTATTTGCAAAAATAAGTAATTTGTACATTTATGTTTTAGGACGAGAATCTTTAAGCCAATTCATTTTGTGAATATAATAATTTGGATCACAAATGTTCAACCATTTAACGTCCAGCTGCTTGAGAACGTCGGGTGTCAACAACGTACCGCTGTATGTAATGATGCGTTCAGTGGCGTCCCCCTCTCCGTAGCGGGTGATGGGCGTGAGGCGGACCAGGTAGGAATCAGGTTTGACGAGTTTGGTCAAATTGTAGGTCAACAGCTCCCCCTTCTGGATGGTTCCCTCCATGGGAATCTCCTGCTCCCACCAGCGAGACTGACCCATCTGAAACACACAAACACATTTTTATAATGAGGACGCTGCAGTGAATCTCATTCAACACTGACCCAAAGATCATTAATATATCAGCTAACATT